CTCAAGTATGCAGCCACGTACTTTCTGTAACCTCGGTTGCGTGTGTTGTGCTCGGTTAGTTGCTCATAATCAAACCTGTCCATGTTGGAGACCTCCTGTAACGGTATCAGTTGGCATACAGACAGATGATGGCATCAATTATGGTTACGATTCAGATTCTTACTTCACTAAGGGCACAGCAGCACATACTATGTTACACGTAAGTTTAGTTTAATGCATTAATTGATTCAAGTTGTTTATATTTTAAATAAATAGTATTAATACTATCATAGAATATATTGTATTTATCTGGGGTTTTATTTTAACATGTCATTTTAACAAATCCTACTGAAAATTCATAAACTTCGCTCAAGTTTTTTGTGATAAATAGGGATTTTTTTACATGTATAATAGATGTGTTGTTTACGTAAACGACGACAGCAACACAACGAGAAATTAACTCAATGAACAACATAGTCTTCGTCAAAGGAAAAGTATATTGTCAAGAAAGTATAGTGACTATTTAATATAAACAAAAAAATTTAAAGATACTCTATTAAATGTTTTTATTGTTTTCACTATTTTTCCTATTTTGTCATAAACAATGGTTTAATCTGGTTATATGTAAGAGAACCACATTCAATAAAAAAGTTTTATATCGATAACATTTACATACGTGGGTTGTAGACAAGTAGGATATTTGATTTTAATATAGAAATAAAACTTATATTAACAAATAAGAATAAGAAATTTTATCTTTGCTTAACACTTTTAATGAAAAGTTACCTTATAATATAAAAAGCTTTTGACTTTTCGAAAGTAAAATGAAAGTAATAATCAACTATAGAATTCAATATATTAGAATGTTGTCAATTTTCGTTACCGCACCTACATTGAACGCTTCAAAGGAATAAGTTTAATATCATTTTGTATATACACATTTGGTTTTAATTCGATTATTATAAAAATATTTTGTTTAGTTTACTATCCATCTTGTGATATATTATTTTTTCTGTTTTGCATATTTCGAAACGACAAATTTAGCAATAGAATATACAACATTATCTCAATCATAGGTTTTTACAAGGCTGGTATATATATGGGGGTAATGAAGGGGTTTACAGAATAGAGAATATCGAGTAAAAACTATAAAAAATAGAAAAAAATAGGCAAAATAACAATATGTAAAGTATTAGTGTCCTAAAATAGAAAAGAATTGTTAAAAAAGTGTAAATTTAAAGAAAAAATAGAATTAAAAAATGAACGAATGACACCCGTCCAGACCCTCGTACATATAATTTCTTTATCACCACAGGTAAATAACTTTGCATAAATCCGAGTTTTAGAAATATATATCTTAAACATGTACATCACAACCCAATAGATGAGAAAAAAATAAAAATACCACCTGTGAATATCGGTGATAATAACTTTCGATATAAACACTTGATGTAAAATTGACACTTTTCATTAAGAGTGGTTATTACAAAATATTCAGAAAAAAAATCTAAATTTTCTGAACACGTAGAAATTATTCAAATAGAATTGCGAAATAGGAAGAAGGAAAGAACTTAATATAGAGAATAGATTGTTTGTGGTAAAGCAATTGATTCGAATGGAAGACGAACTCCATTATGTAATTGCAAGTCGTAAACTATGCACATGAAAATATAAAAAAGAATTATGTTATAAACTTTTAAAGAAAACTTTGAATTTAAAAAATATTTGAACTTATTACCTTATTAATTACGATGGAATAACGTTTTGTGGTTTAGAACTGGAAATCATCGGTTAGCTGTAGAAACCGGTAGATGACTTGAAAAATGTTGGACAGGAAATTAAAGATTTTGTAGTAACGCTCGAGAGATAGGTGATGAATTTCTTTATATTCTAAACTGTACACCCCTAACAGAAAGTTGGGAGAACTTTTATTAAACCCTACTATGTAAGCCGAGCAAGTGTTTTCAATTCAGCAGTTTTTTTGTTTAAAACATGTTCGAGTATTGAAAACTTTGTGTAAATCAATTAGAATTTTGAATACAGACAATAAATTACATGTTTAAATCAGTAGTAAATTTTCATGAAAGATGATACAAAGTTATTATCAAAAATATAAGGTCCTCGTGCTTTATAAACCGTAAATATATTTCCAACACTTTCAATGTACATTAAATACTGCAATACCTATCAAAAAAATGTTGTTTTTTTATATTTTGAAAGCATTTTGTGAAGCAGCATAATATAAGATCATGTGCTGACTGTTGTTATTCTATATTCTTTTGAAATAGACATATACAAAAAAAAACTGTGATGACTACTGTTTTTGAGTTCATTTGACATATGCATAAACTAACACTATTTTCTAGTATACATCATTGTAAAGGGGGTAGGTCAAAATCGCCAATGATACTGGATTTTTTTCCTGTGTTAAAACAACCCTTCGGTGGCCTTAGTCATTTTGTACTCGGTTTTTTTTTTAATCTCTGACACATTCTCAATTCTATGTAAAAATTTCAAAAAAAATCCACCATTACGTCAGGATAGAATATTCAGCAGAAAGGACATAAGCCAATTGCCAATACAACTGTATACAATTGACCTTTGCAGAATCGAGATCTATTGAGCATGAATGAGTGAACTTTGTAAAATAACTTCAAGGGAAATGTTGTGTGGTAATACTTCTGCATGCCTAATATCAATGACAATTGTGGTTACCATTCAACTGACCTCACCACGAACTTTTCCAAAAACAATAAAAAAAAAAAAAATGGGGAATGTGTCTATGGGACTCAAATGATGCCCCTGCTTATATATTATATAGAATTGTAAAGGGACTTAAGTGATTAACAATAAAAGATAGGCTACCTAAATTTGTAATTGATCAGAGTTTTGCAGTAATAAGTAGTGTGTATAACATGTATAAGATTTATACTATAAGTTTCATAACATTTGGTAGAGAATGGAAACTAAATTCAGCATTTTTTCCTTCCATAAAGGGGCATAACTCTAGAACAGTAAAAGTGACACCACCAAAAATCCAACTTGATCCGTTTTTTGTGGTAATAAGCATTGTATATAAGCTTCAATACGTTTGATTGAGGCAAACTTAAGTTAGGGAACAGACACGAACAATTCAGCAATTTTTCCTTTTGTAAAGGGTTTTACACTAGAATGGTTAAAGTGACACCACCAAAATTCAAACTTGATCTCTATTGTGTGGTAATAAGCATTGTGTACAAGTTTCATAGTATTTGATTGAGGCAAACTGAAGTAAGAGAGATAATAATTTTTTTTTGCACTTTTCTTCTTTGAAAGGGGCATAACTCTAGAACGGTTTTAGTGACACCACTAAAATTCAAACTTAATCTGTGTTTTGTGGTAATTACCATTATGTATAAGTTGTATAACATTTGGTTTAGGTAAACTAAAGTTTAACTTTCGGACAGACCTATGTACATGGGCAATATTTCATGCATCCAATACGGCAGGATATAATAGTCTATTTCAATAGAATGTGACTCAGAGATGAGACAAATGACAACCATAAGAACATCTATTAAAACAGACCTAATCACAATCTTAAACAAAGCGTTAATGGTGCCAATACCAATACCAAAATACACAGGAAATAGCATATTGATGAGAAACACAAAATTTGTAGCCGATATTGTTTGGATATTATCAAAGCTAAGACTACTGGATGCTTGATGAAGGGATATTAAAGAAGACAATATAGCTGCATAGAACAAATTTATTATATATATATATATATTATATTATAACATTATAACACAGCTTTTATGAAATGCATATCACTTTGAATAAAAACAGTAAAACTGTTATTATCTAGAACATCTATACACATATGAACAATAAAGAGATGAAAGTTACCAAACAACTTGACTTAATTTGAATCATTTATATACAAGCTACTAAATGAAAATATTATGTGGTACTAAATGGAGCAACTGGCAGCCAGACATTTGTTATTTGTATTTTCAATATTTATTTTCTGAAATATTAAACCAGACTGAAAAGAACCCAAAAACCGAATGAGCAGGAAAGTAGTTTTTGGAATAAAAGTATTTATAATATAAATAAAAAGAAGATGTGGTATGATTTCCAATGAGACAACTCTCCACAAGAGACCAAAATGACACAGAAATTAACAACTATAGGTCACCGTACGACCTTCAACGATGAGCAAAGCCCATACCGCATAGTCAGCTATAAAAGGCCCCGGAATGACAATTCAAACGAGAAAACTAACGTCCTTATTTATATAAAAAAATGAACGAAAAACAAATATGTAGCACATTAAAAAACGACAACAACTGAATTACAGGCTCCTGACTTGCAATATAAAATAAAACACATATATATACATACATGTAAAACAAAGCATATCAGAAGAGCAAAATTTCATATACTTAAATACTAATATATACAAAAGTACCACTCTGAGAATTATGAGAGACTATTTAACAAGTTATAATATTTCAATATTTTACATAATTTTAAAACTATATACATAAATATATTTAAGATTTACATTTAATTGAGTCCTTAATTACTTTACTGATTATTTCTATAGAGCATATACAAATAAAACATAATGGCTTATCTGTATTAATTTGATAAAATGTTTTTACTATTACAAATTTTCTTTCTGTAATGAAATAAATCTTTAAATTGTTCATGTCTGTAATCAGTCTTGTATACCCATATTATTTTTTCCACAGGTACTTAATGCTTGCACACCGTCTTATTCTCTTTACTTTATATATTTTGAAAAAATTTCTGTATTATCTATTCCGTAAAGCTCACTAAGACCCTCATACATGATTTGCATTTTTATTACAATTCAATTAAATAATATTAACTGAGTATGAAATTTAATACCATAAGTTGGTGTAACCTATACAAGTTTATACATTTAGTAATATTAGACAAAATATACAAATTCAGTTGTACAGAAACACATACATGGCATACAGATAAATGAGTCAAAAAGATTTTTTTTTATTTTACATGTTTTTAGTCCAAAATTAAAAGGTGATGAATAAAAATAAAAATAAGAAAGTTGACATTTCCAAATGTTTGTCATACTGTAAATAGTATTCAAATTCAAAAAATATTTTTTCCTTTAAACTTTTTTACAAGAGAATAAAATCATTTTTGGATTGAGTGTTAATCTATTTTAGTCAGTTATTTTCTCATAGCCCTAAGTTTAACCATAGGGTGGGTTTGTCAGCCATTATTTAGAAAAATCCTGGTCATGAATAGTTGATAAAATGACAAAGTTTTCCATAAAAAATAATGACAATTAATGGAAAATGAGAAAAGCTCTTTCCAGCATATTGGTCACGCCAGCAAACATAATTGACATAATTTAAAGACGATCTTTTCATATCTAAAACATTGACCATGTACATATAGTCAATGTACCTTGTATCATTATTTGTCTAAGTCAATGCATGATTGGAGTATACCACCATTGTGGACCTAAATGTTAAGATTTCTGTTTGCACATTGTTGTTTTACCTCCTTTGATGTTAATTTACATGACCAAGCTAAAAACAAGATAAGTGACAGATAACCAATCTCTAGATTATGGTCATGATGATGGACATATAATTATAAACAGACCAAATTGTATCTGCTGAGTCTAGAAATCAATTACTTGCAATGATTTAACAAAAATATCTAAATTTGATTCTTTTCTCATTTCTCAAGTCTACAAAACATTACAACATTAATTTCACATCAACACCAATGAAAACCAATCTATCATTGTCTCTTCCTATAACTTGTGGTTCACTGATATCATCTAGGAGGAAGGGCTTACAACAACTCACTCGTTCTGAAACGTTCCAAAACCCATCTGTATATGCAACATCACTGAACAAATCAAGAAGTACCCAAGTGTACATTTTACCACGCCAATCATGTTCGAAAATCAATTTCACACGACCAAAGACCATATCATCTTCTTCCCTCACACAGGGATGGTGGTCTTTTAAATTCCTGACAAGGTAAACATGTGATGGTGACTGTTTATTGCTGGAAACTCGACTGGTTTTTCCATTTACTTTTTTCTCTACACTCTTCAAAACTAACCCTTGTTTGTTCATTCTTGAAGTTAATGCAAAGTCATAAACCTCAGACATATCATCTAGAATCTTTTCCTCTAATAATTTTGGGGTCTTCTTCGTGGTTTCCTTTTTGGGCTCATTCAAATTGCAAATATCTTCAAATTTACCAAGTGTTAAATCATCCGTATCAATAATGTCTGACATGAGCATAAATACACACCAGTCATATATCTGAAAATTAAAAAAAAATATTCAATTAACATCTGGTAATTAAGTTTCAACAACTGATATACAATGTAATACATTAGAAAATTAGTGTTCGAATGTGATTTAAAATACAAAACAGTCTCTTTACACTTTTCAATGTTTACATGTTTTTAAAATGTAGTATACATTTAACAGTTTTAATAGGTTTACCATTTTCAGTAAAATTTTGGATTAGTTAATATAAAAAGTATTTTCAAATTCATTTTTTAATTTAACATAAAAACAGCTTATCTTTTTGATTCGTATACTTATTGAGATGATTTTAACTTTACCTTTTCTGGCATATTAAGAATACAAAATTTGAGTTGACAAGATATATATATATATTGTGTCTACAACTATGTATATAGGTGTAATACCACCAAATCATAGTACGTCACATCCGGTTGCATACGAAAATAGGTCGAAAAAAAATATTCCCTTGAATTTGACAGTTGTAGGTAATTGATCCTACATTTCATTGCAGTAAAACATTTCTGAGTCATAAACATATATCTTGGGTATTTCAAAGCACCATTATTTCTTTATTTGGGGTTTCTATAGAATATTTTGGAAACTTGAGGTTACATGGTTACTAAAGCTTGTACACAGGTTAAAAAAGGGGGAAAATTTGATTGGTTAACTTCCAGTGATGGTTATTTTCTTATATGCAATGAAATGTTATGTGAAATTTTTTCTATAGTACTGGACAGGATAAAACTTTACTCATGCCAAGTATTTCTTTATTTGAAACAAAGATAAATTCTGCACAATTTTTTGAAAAGTGCAAATTTAACAAAGACTAATAGGGGAAAATCAATGGTGGTATTACACCTAATATGGGAAGCTGTACATGCACCTTTGACCTTGTGAGTACTCTCATGTGTTAAAATTTCTTGCTATTTAAGTGAAATATTACAAATAATGAAATATTCTGAGTGGATTGAGTCTCCAAAATACATTTTATGAGAAAATTTCCTTGAAATAGGACTTTACCATGAATATTAGTTGACAGAACAAGCCATACTTAGAGTCTTGGGGAGCTTTTTCTCCTTATTTCTTATATTCTGCTATACTAGAAAATTTTTCCTAAGAAATACTTTAATAAATATATAGTTTTAAGTAAATGAAATTATTTTTAAAGCAGTAACAACAAATTATTCACCAAAAGAGAAGTTTTTTATGTCCCTCTCTGGAACGCGGCGTAAATTTAAGTTTTACGAAAGGACTTATTGAAACCTCCTTGGAGACAGTAAACTTTTATACGGATAGTTCAAGCAGCTTGAATACTTCAATTAATCATTTATAATAACATTTCTATCATAAATGAGTGAAAGTTACCCCAAAATTTTTATTTATTGGCCTAAAAAGTAGAAATTTTGAGGAAATGAGAGGTATAAATGGACCAAAAGAGACTTTATAAGGAAGAATAAGAGGTCCATTAGTAGTATTTATCATCCTAAAGTCATCTTTTGTATCATATTCAACTGTTTGTAGGCAGATGAGATAAATATTTGATCATTTATTAGTCCACACTATATTCTATCATGATGCGGCTTGGTTTGAATTTTTCGAAGAAATTTTGCTCGAATCGCTGTAGATGTCATCTTACATTATACTAGATTTTTCTCAAACTATTGAACTGATTATGACAAAACTTGACAGGAATGCTTGAAATAACCAGTATTACAAAGGAAAAAAGTCACATTCAGTTTATTCAACAAAAAAGTCTTCTTTAGGTGTAATACCACCAAATCATAGTACGTCACATCCGGTTGCATACGAAAATAGGTCGAAAAAAAATATTCCCTTGAATTTGACAGTTGTAGGTAATTGATCCTACATTTCATTGCAGTAAAACATTTCTGAGTCATAAACATATATCTTGGGTATTTCAAAGCACCATTATTTCTTTATTTGGGGTTTCTATAGAATATTTTGGAAACTTGAGGTTACATGGTTACTAAAGCTTGTACACAGGTTAAAAAAGGGGGAAAATTTGATTGGTTAACTTCCAGTGATGGTTATTTTCTTATATGCAATGAAATGTTATGTGAAATTTTTTCTATAGTACTGGACAGGATAAAACTTTACTCATGCCAAGTATTTCTTTATTTGAAACAAAGATAAATTCTGCACAATTTTTTGAAAAGTGCAAATTTAACAAAGACTAATAGGGGAAAATCAATGGTGGTATTACACCTATACACTCAAATATATATAAAAAAAATAATTGAAAAAAATATATCAATATTACATACCAGGATTAAAATTTTATAATTACTTGAGACGCACGTTTCGTCTACAAAAGACTCATCAGTGAAGCTCGAATCAAACAATGTTTAAAAGGCCAAATAGAGTATGTAAGTAAGTTGAAGAGCATTGAGGACCAAAAATTCCTAAAAGTTTTTTACCACAGTTCTTTAAATAGTTTTTTTTTCCATTGTATATCTTAAAGACAGACAAAAAATTACTATTCATGAGAACAGAAATAAAATTTCAATAAAAATTATTTGTAGAATAAAAAATCCTGTATATTGTCATGATTGAGTACTTACTGCATATGTTTCCATGACGGTAGATTCAATTCTGTGTTTGTTGAGTACTTGTCTTGTAATCCAACAGTTAACCCTCTCATAAGGAAAAAGCCATCTCCCATATAATGGTCCATATCTAGGAAATCCCTCCGGAATATGATGTAGAAGATGCATGGTTATTGTCTATTATAAAAAAATATAAAGGAATATTGAATAAACAATTATTATATATTTGCAGGAATAAATATATGAATCATAATCAATATCCTTTTAAATAAAGCAACATACATTGTACTATAAAGAATAATGGTACACTTGTACTTGTAGATTTAAGTTAATCTTTTCTCTTACCCAAGGTATTGTTAACACAAGTTCATGTTGCATTTTGTACGAACTGTTGAAAATGATAAAACTTATAAAATCCCTGAATCCAAATTTCAGAAATCCTTGTAATGTAGTTCTTGAGAAAAATGTGACGAAAATTTAACTTGAATGTCATGCAAGTATTCAGTAAATATAAAATATGATCAGTAATGAATCTGAATACACATCACACAGTATAGCTTAGCTGACTTGTATAAACTTTGAAACCAAATTTCAGAAATCCTTGTAATGAAATTCCTAAGAAAGATGTGACAGAAATATAAATGGGACGACAGATTGACTGATGTATGGACAGAAAGAGGTAAAACAGTATACCCCCACTTATTTTAAAGCGGGGGTATAATACATGGAGAATGTGTCCATGGGTCAGATATGATGTCCCTGCTTGCATATATATCGTATTAAGTTATAAGGGGACATAACTGAAGAAAGGTAATAGTGACCCTACCTGAATTTGTCCTTGAATCAAATTTTATGGTAATAAGTATTGTAATAAGATTCATATGTTTGGTTGAGGCAAACCATAGTTAGGGAACGATTACTAAAATTCTGCAATTTTTTAACTTGCAAAGGGGCATAACTCTGGAACAATTGAATTAACGCCACCAAAATTCAAACTTGACCCGTGTTTTGTGGAAATATGCATTGTGCATGAGTTATATAATAAAATTGAGAATGGTCAAAAGCAAATTCTTATTTCTTTTTTTTTATGTATCATGTATATAGCAGGACAAATCAAACTTACTTGTAAGGATAAAGGGAAATCTCTTTCAATCAAAGCAAGAGCTTCGTGGGTTTCTTCCTGTAACTGTTCTAAATCAGCAACTTTGTATTCTTCTTTTGTAAGCTTTTTCAATACTTCAAACAACTTCAGCAATGTACGCTCTTATTCTGGTCCTAACAAACCATGCAAACACCAAGCAGCAGCATTGCTCGTGACAAACTGAAAGAAATACATTTAATGAATGGCTATTATTTATTTTGAATTTATTGAACCATAAAATCAATTTTTGACTCTTCACATTGAATAATCCGCGATGTAATTATAAATTTCTATCAAAAATAAGGCTCAAAGAATTTTTTATATTATTTATATTAACAATAACAACGTACAAAAATGTTGGCGTATGAATACACAATGTCAGAGTGGGCGTGTCCCCATAAAAATGGACAACATTGAAAATAAAACTAATACTTTTAACCAATCAGAAGACAGTAAATACACCAAATTTATTTATTATAATATAAATGACTATATATGAAAGATGACATGTGGATTCTTTGTTGAAATGATGGATTAAGAGATTGACATAATTTCTGCAACTTTTGTAGAATACAATATATTTACAACTATCTCACGGAGTCAAGTTCTAGAGTACCAGTATGATCATGATGATATATATATTTGTCTCATTGACTCTCATTAAACCATCTTTAAAATTTTTTAAATGTATTCATAGTCAAGTAAATTTCAATACTAAATTTAAAAATGGTGAAACAGTTAGTGTGTGTAAACCATATAAAAACAAATTTCTCAGGCCAAATAAAAATATATGTGTAATTCCAGTTACCATGCATACAATGTACCTTTCCTATTTTTTAAGTCTTCATAATGATAATAGCCTCCCTTAAGATTATTATTTTAATTTTTCATTAACAGTCAGGGGACTTACTGAAATAAGTGTTTTATAAATCACTAACATGACTTAGAAAAGTCATGTTAGTAGCAAATTCAAAGTTAAGTGACAAATTGTGATTTTGTAGTTTTACCAAAATTTTAAACACATAGGTTTAGGTAGTATCTTTTCATAAATAAAATAGAAGCTTTTGCTTCTGTAAAGAAGCTAGTAATCATTCCAGCTGTAAATTCTATTTAGTTAATAAAAAGCTATAAAAAAGGCTTACCATAATCGTAATTTATGTAACTGGAACCACACATTCTATTTTATTTAAACATACCTGAAGCTTCCCATGCATAGTTCTGAGTGTCCATGGCTTCGAGAAATGTTTGTCTGGGTGGTAGTCATAACCTGGTGGGTATTGCAAACTTTTGGCTCTCTTATCTGCAACTGCTAGAGCTGTACGATCTAACCTCCAAGGAGCAGGTGGTAATACACATTGTACAACATCATTACTCTTTTTCTTTTTCTGCTGCACATTTATCTGAGTAACTGATTTCCTTTTCTGACCCACTACTTCATTGCTGGAATCGTCTGTTAACTCTTCTGTCACATCTGTATTTTCTTTCACCTAAGTGTCTTTAAAACGATCGAACTCTTGTTCACATAGCCTTACTTTCTTTGAATCATCTTTTCCAGTAACAGTGTCCAAAACATTACCAATAACATCAGCAATTGTGTGCATTCCATCTGGTTGCATCTGTTCTGATCTCTTATGATATGGTAGTTTCATGAAGCTGTATGTACCTTTCAAACCAGTTCTTTTTTGCATATTGTTTTTCTGATTTTTGTTTGGTAGATCATCATATTGCTTCCTTAGGTCATACTCTTCTTCGTTGGTATACATGTGCTGAGTAGTTGAAGATTCTTCCCTCTTTGATGCATAGTTTGTGGTATCTGATCGTAGATGATGGTTGGTAGGTAAAAATGATCTGTTGTTTAAGTGGACGACTTTGTGCAGGTTTTTACAGTATTCCCCAGTTTCTCTACAGTATGGGCATCCTCTTAATGCTGCCTGACTTGACACATGTAACAGCTTGCCAAATGCTGGTATATCACACTGATATTGTAATAGTGCCACTTTAACTTTGCAGGGTGCTCCTTTGTAGGTGTTAAAAAGTTTAGATTCGGATAATGTCAATAGTTCATCCACAATTAATTCTAAATAAGGATCAAGATGTTTTGGTTCTTCTGTTTTGGTTCCTGGAATAATACCAACAAGCATCATTGGGCCAAGAATTTGTCTAACATTTACAGGCAAATTTAACCATGTCAAAATAAGTGGCCACATGGACTTTTGGGTAGCCATACTTTTATTCGGGTTAAGTCCATCTGTAAATAAAGCTAATGGAACGGTTAACGATTCTTCCATGTTTTCAAAGACGCCCCCTTCTTCATACCAAGATTGATATATGGATCCATCTGTAAAATCCCCTAGTTTTCCATTTGCAACCTCCTGTTTGGAATACAGAAGTTTACAGACATTGTCTGTGCCATACCATCTTGCTAGTCTAGGACCTAAGGGTATATAGGTAAACGTCTTTCTTGGATTCTGGGAGTTGGTCAAGTACCTATCCTCATCACAAACAGCACACTTTATATCATCTGAATGTTGAAGTCTAAATATCTGACAGTCATTGACACAACAATGATAGGTTGTTGTTGGTATCAAAAGGTGTTTCACCATGTCATGTGCTTCTTTGTAACTTTTAGGTAGCTTGTTTGGTTGAGGAAGTACTTTTTTTTCATTTGACAAACACATGCTCACTGCAGACTTTGACATTCCATTGTTCGAGCAAAAAGTCACAAAATGGCGCAACACTGATTGTAGGATTGTGGTTTTACTTCCATCATACAATGGTTCATTAAGTCTAGGTTCTTTATATGGTCTGGTAGTGAAGTTTATTGTGGGCTTCTCGTTTTTCCATGCAGTGTTCATAACGTTTATCATTTTTGCCTGGTGTCTTCTATTAGCCCTATCACAATTGAGACCACCTGAAAAAAAAATATGAATAAACAAATATCCTTAACTCTGCAATGGCATATGATATGTGTTATTGAAAAAATATGAATTACAAAATGTACATTGTACCATGGAAGTATTATAAACAGGCATATTTTATAAAAACAAGTCAACAGTTAAATTAATATTGATAAACATATTTGTTTACTTTTTCAGAGAAGTATTCGAGAGGTTGCCAGCTGTTCAACAAACATTGGAGTCAACCTGATTCAAGATATGTTTCCAGAATTAAAAAAGACTCCAAGATCAACAAAGAAACTAGCAACTGCCATATCCACCAGAAGAAGAAACAAAAGGCAGTACTTGCAACTGAAGTAGACATAAAAATAACAAATATAAATCAATTGCTTTAAAGAGCAATTGTAAACGGTCTTTCCCCCACCTGAAACATGAAACATGATTGACTGATATATGTGTATGTTTGTTTTGTTTGTTTGTTTGTTTGTTTGTTTGTTTGTTTCTTCTTTCTTTTTTTCTTTCTTTAAAGGGTCCATATTAGTGTGTTGGTTAAGTTTCTATATTTAGTTTGGAAAGTTTTTATTCTATTTCAGGGTCCGCGCGCGTCTTTGTCTCGCGCCAGGTTTTGGCGTCACGTGACGAGGCTTTATATTAGCGAAAACTTAGTATTTTTATTTCTTTTTAGGTGGGAACGTTGGACAGACAACATGTATAGCGACGGAATACACACAATGTATTTCTTTTGTCATTGTAGGTAATTGACATTTCGATCACAGTTCACGAGCAGTGCATGCTTTGGATTTAATTGATCCTGTGTAACTTTAAAACACGTTTATCGATTGTTTTCATACAATGTACATTTTTCAGCAGCAGTTTGTAACACAGATTTGTATTTCAATCTAGGAGCGGACATTTTATTGTAGGATTTCACTGAGATTTACGGAACTAGCAAGCGAATTTTACGGCATTGCAATTTCTTTTCTCTAGGAAAATTCTTAAGAGATATCTGCACCACGTTCTTTTATGAAGATGTAATACGTGTATACCCTGCTGACTGCAGTTTTTAAGGTCAATTGGACATGTAGTTTCCCAGAACATCTGATAACAAGCATGTGGATTTTTTTTTCTTCAGAAGAGATGTAAATACAATATTACACACATGAGACGGAAACATGCATACAATGAATGATTGATTGGTTGGTTGGTTGGTTGGTTGGTTGGTTTGTTTGTTTATTTATTGGTTGGTTGGTTGGTTGATTGATTGATTAGTTGAATAATTAAACACGTGGGATAGGGTCTCTTGAAACAAGCGAAAAAGAAACAAAGGAGATCTTGGACCCCGTGTTAAACACATAAGACGGAAACATGCATACAATGAATGATTGATTGGTTGATTGGTTGGTTGATTGGTTTGTTGGTTTATTGATTGGTTGGTTGGTTGGTTAATAAATTTAACATGTGGGATATGGTGGTCTCTTGAAACAAGCGAAAAAAAAACAAAAAACAAATGAGATCTTGGACCCCATATTAAACACATGAGACGGAACCATGTATGCATGCAATGATTGATTGAATGGTTGGTTGGTTGGTTGGTTGATTGATTGATTGATTGATTGATTGATTGATTGATTGATTGATTGATTGATTGATTGATCAATTAATTAAACACGTGGGATATGGTCTCTTTAAACAATCGAAATAGAAACAAATAAGATCTTGGTCCCAATATTAAACACACGAGACAGAAACATGCATGCATGCAATGATTGACTGACTGACTGACTGACTGATTGATTGGTTGGTTGGTTGGTTGGTTGGTTGGTTGGTTAACACAGAGACCGGATCCACTTTGATCACGCAAAGACGGAATAGAAAGCCTAAATACTATATCTAAACACATGGGATTTATCTTTTGAGAGATCACTTAACAAGTAGTAAGGTTAAAGGTCAATGTCAACCTACAAAAGCACTAAACCACACATAAAACTCTTTAAATAGTGCCAAAAACACATAATTTGCCTTTTTTACATGACCTTGACCATTGACCTTGACCTATATTTTCAAGTTATGGTCCAATGATCTCAAATCAAAATACCATAGGTCTTTACAACTTGCGGTTCATGAGATTCATATGCATATTGAAAAGTAAAATATTCAAGGGGTAATAACTCCTATAAGAAGTCACTGGATCGCTTCGGTTGAAATTATTTAAAGTTGCGACATGTGACAAGGAACATTTTAAAAAAAACCATTTGCCGCTAACTCTTATAGTTTATGAAGAGTAGCGATAACAATGGTTTTTGTAATTGGGGAGATAACTCCTATAAGGTAAATAGTACACTTTGGTGCCCCTAATACAAGATAGATTTTATTAACCCGATACTTAATACCAAAGATCATTTGGATCTGTCGCGTACTTTTTTTGACTTTTGACTTTGAAATCGGACGAGGAAAAAGAACAATAATAATAATAAACAAACGAAATACAGTAAGGTCTTTCCATTAAGAAAGGAAAGACCTTAAAAATTACCTTCCAAACTTGTTTTTTGACCTCAATCAACTCACTGCTTTAAGCAATTTTGTTAAAACTATTTAATATTTAAGTATTTAGTACATTATTGTTTATAGTAAAAAAAAATCAAAAGTGACAAGATTCCAACTCAGCCAATTTCACAGATTTTATCAGTAAGGGGATTCACTCAAACAAGTATCTTTTAAAATACCTATACATGTACCAGTAATGTTGCAAACAAGGCTTTTTTTAAATATTACTTATATAATTTTATATCAGTAACTTTTCTAAATATTATTTTTATAGGTGTCCAACTGTACAGGTTTTACTAGCTTTAACAAATTGTCAAGTTATCTGGTTATTTTTCCCATTGGCATCTGCAGCTATTCATTTTTTCTATTGGTCAATATTAATTTTATGAACTTCTATATTTTCAGAGACAAAGCAGGCAGTCAAGGCAAAACTGTTAAAAGACTACTGAAAGACCGCAAGGATCAAAAGTAAGTACTATCCACTGTTTCTGTGTACATGGGTCTTGCAACCGAGAACTTTAGATAAAGTTAAAACTTGTAATTGTAGGGACTTGGATGAAGTAAACTCCTTGAAGCCCTTGATTCAAAATTTAAAAAAAAATTAAGAATATTTTAATTTTTTTGAAAATAGTTAACTTACTTTATAAAAATTTTAAATTTTAAGTTAGATTGAGAATTTAATTTAGTGTCCAGCTGAAACTAACATGATTTTACCACTTAAGTGCAATACTGATTTCCCTTTAAATCAAATAAACTATTTTCTGTAAAATACCTTGTGTATTAATTAAGCAATACGGGTAATAATGACGAATAGGCTTTGTTTTTATGATCAGAGTACTGTATATCACAGGTAGTACTGTTACTAATTTGGACAATTTTGTAAACATGGTCAACATGGTCAAGTTTTACATTTTTTAAGCAAATCTATATTAGCATACTATTACTAAAACTGTGTAATACTGACTCAATAAACATGACAGTTAGTCCAGTAACTTAACCAGAGAAAACCAAAAAGTTGGTTAAATTGAATAGACCTAAATAACAACATTAAGTTTTGCAATAGTTTATTCTTAATTCTACATTCATAAGACAAAAGAAGAAACACAATGCAGCAGTTTTCTCTGTATTCATAATTCTCTTTTTTCCAGATTACAACTTAATGTACCTATTGGTTCACCACCAAGTATTGAAACTACAGAAGACTTGGTGTCTTTGTCCCCAAGGCCAGAATCTCCATATCCAAATGAGCAAGATTCTTTTGAAGAGACCACCACAGTAGAAGAGACCCTAAACATCACAACTATAGAGGAGAGCTTCAACGCATCACCAATTAGCTCACCAACTAGTGTCATTCCTTTAGCACATTTAGCATCTACTAATCAAGACCTTACTACTGAAGACTGGGACACATCAGATGAAGAAATGGACAAAAGGCTGATAGACTTTGTTAGGCATTAAATAAGTCCACTAAAATCTGTATCATATAATGTATACATGTATATACTTTGTACATATATAACATATAAATATTTATAAGCCTAGGTACTTAATATATTATGAATTGTTGGAATTAAAATTGAATTATTTATTAAACATTTACATGTTTTATTCGACCGGGGTACATATATGTACATGTATTTTTTTTATTTGCTGGTATAATATCACGTTCACCTGTTAGACATTCAGATTGTTATAACTTATATAAGTTCAAATGTTTTATTTCTTCTTTTCATGAAATTTTATACACCATAATATGTGAAAATTGTATGCACTTTTGTGAGGTTAATGTTTTATCTAAAAGTTAGTAAATTTGCAATAGGTCTTACTTAGTTAATAGTCAGAGCTGATAAATGGTTGTTTTTCATTAACAATAGTGAAATATGTGCATGCATGGACACTTATTTTTATTATAAACATGATAAATAAATATTTAAATGATAATGAGTTGTTATTATTGCATCTTTCTTATAACCTTTTACTTACAAACAAGTTGTACTAGGAGAACAAGGACATGTGTTTTTTCAGTTTATGCAGATAACGTTATAAAATCTGATGCATGTCTATTTAATCCATTAAGAGAAGTATACATGTATATTATGCTTACAATGTCAGTCAGGGGTACTACTTGTACAAGTATTTTTTATTTACTTGAAGAAGTAAAAAAAAATAGTCACATATAAGTTAATTGTAATGTTTGAATAATCTCCCCTTAATATGCTCAAAAATTCACTTGTATAAGTAAATTTTTCTTACAATGAATCCCACAAAAATTCTCAAGTTTTGATATGTAAAATCATGCCTTTAATGATTTTTCCCAGGTTAGCTCATAATTTTTGATTAGAGTTCAATGTTTCATCTCATTAATTCAACAAAGAAACTAATGTGCAAAGATCTTAAGTATTTGCTATCTTTGCCGCAAGGCCTTCAAAAATTGCTCCTTAGGGGCTTGTAAATGAGCAGTGTTC